GCGTCTTTTACCTGCGAAGAGTAGTGAAGTCGGTGGTAAAAATAATATCTGGCGTCCGTGTTTCTCTTTTTTTTTTTTCCATCGTTCCCCGCCTTTACGGCGCGTCGCTCACTTCGCGTTAATGCATGCCGTTAACACGACGTTCGCCGAGATCCGGTCATAATAAACGACAAACTTTTCAGCGTTGTTCCGTCGTCGCGTCCCGATCGGTGCAGCGGATCTCTCTACCACGACGTTTACCAAGTGAAAAGCAAAAAGGTGATAGACTGAAGTGTGCTCCTCAGCAGTGAAGTTGATCTTTCTTTTCTCCCCATTTGGTGTGTTTATACACGGAGGTTAGCGGCGGTAGCTTGCGCCCAATTATGCTGTAAAAACCGATACGTTGTGCGTCTCGGCAGTGCGTGAGAAGGGTACGTAACGAAAAAACGAGAAACAGGATAATAGACGTGAAAAGAAAAGTGGATGTGAGTGATACGTTGGTACGTTGTGACGACAACGACGACGACAACGACGGCGGCGGCGGCAGCAGCAGCAGCAGCGGTGGCGGTGACGGCGACGACGGCGACGACTCTGCGGATTACTCGCGGACGAAGAAGTCGAGCAACAAAATGATGGGAAAGAGAACGCAGTGCTACTTGTGCGATCTGCCCAGGATGCCCTGGGCGATGATCACCGAATTTTCGGAACCCGTGTGCCGCGGTTGCGTCAACTACGAGGGCGCCGACCGGATAGACGCGGTACTGGAGTCGGCCAAACAAATGAAAAAGGCACACGGTTTCCACGAAGCCAGATCCTCGACATCGAAGGCATACAGAACGACCGGGCACACCGAGCACAACGGCGGTGCTAATTTGGACGTTCTACCGATACAGAACACCGGGCAGAATCACTCGAGGCATCACAATATCGCCGGCTACTCGCAGCTCCATCACCGGAACTCCATAAACGAGTTCAATTCCGGGACGTCGAGGCAGCAGATCTCGCGGCAACACGACGAGACCCACGAGATAGCGAACGGCATGAGGAGCAATAACGTGAGAATCCCGAACGCCCACCTAGCCGCGGTGGCGCATCACGTGAATCTCAGCCATAACAGAGGCATCGCACAGCTTAAGCGAAGTATCTCGACTATCGACGAGGACGAGCACGCCGAGAAAAGGCTCTCGTTGGAGGAGCAGCATTCGGTCAGGCCGCCATTGACCAGGGGCGATTCTTTGCCAGCTGTGAGCCTTGCCGTCAGTTACGTCCAAGACAGAAGCAAGGAGAAGCATCCTGTTAGGGCGCCCAGTTTCGAGACCGCCACCACGTTCAAGACGAACGGTGAGTCGAATGGCCCCGATCTCTTGAACTCCTGCAATTTTTTCATCGGTCTTCAAGTCTGTCACAGCTTGATCTCCACCTAAAATTATTTACGACCACAATGTTTATTTTTATAGAAATTACGCATAGTCACCGTCGTGGGTATGTATATCGTATCGTTTTGAAAGACAGATTGGATGATATTCTTTTCCAATGATATATGCGGATATATATCATCGAACATTTTTCTGTCACGTTAAAATCAAGGTATTACACGTCTTTCTTTCTTTTTCTCTCCATTTCGAAACAGATGGTCCTCTTCCGGTTGTTCTTCTTATCGGCCAGTAGTAAAAATAGGAAAATGTTTGATCGTACGCGCGTGGCCATCTGGCACGAGAAGAAAGGAGCAGGCAAACCGGCCGCGTGCACGAGTTAAAAGACAGCCTTTGGGCTCCGGGGGAATCATCCGCGCGCAGTAAATGGACGTTGCGTGCTTGTCCTTTCTCTCTTTTCCTCCCGCTGTATATCGGCCGCGCGTTGCCTCGCGGCTGCGAATCAGCGCGCGTTCTTCCCTCGTTTTTCTTCCGGCCGCAGTTCCTTCATTCTGGACGAGAACGGCAGCCGTCCAAACGCGTATAAAGGAGACGTGTACGTTGAGCACGTGATAGGACGGCCAAAAGATACACCGAGCCTGTCGTGCCGTACTGTGCCGTGACGTCCGATCGAATGACGTCACTCGGTATATTTAGATACAATGAATGAGTCCGTTGTTGCTCAATACAAATCTCGTCAGCCGTTGCGAACATTTTACAAATGTAATTTCGCTTCTGGCTCGTAACGCCAGATAACCGATTTCCTTTTAAAAAATACCTGAATCACGTACTTTGTAGACAACTTACAATACTGTATATATTATACAATAATATAATGCACAATATACAATTATAATATTATACATACAATATATCATGTTCTATAATAATTTATACTGCATAGTAGACGTTTTCGAATTGTGCTCAACGTCACAGGTAGAAAGTACAGTTTTTTTCGTGAATATTATTTTTTGCCCTTGTTGATTGAATACTACTGCGTGCAATACTACTTTCGAAAACCGGTTGATCTTGTGCGCCTTTTTCCTTCTTTTTTTTTT